TCCCTGTCCAAAAAATATTTATATTCAGTGTTGTCACATTGGATGCAGATGTATGCATATTTAACTTGCTGTGTATTGGTGCTTTTTAGACAAACCTTTGTGTCAAGAAATGTTGTGATTTCACATATTGATAATTCAAATCAGAGTTGCATTCCTAGAGCTTATGTGTATGTTATACTTGTTTGTAGATGCCAGGAGTCTGATTATTTTATTATATCCTTGTGTGGGTTTGGAGGAGGGAGGGAGGGCTAATTTTTCATGGGGGAGGGGGGGGGGGAATAGACAGCCCTCCTAACGTTAAAGCATGTTGAAAAAAAACAGCTGCTTAGAGTGATCTTGTGAGATGGTGAAATGTGTGACAGCCTACTCTTACTGGCCCAACACATGATGATGATGATGGGCCTAAAGGTGGAGATTTTGTAGCTAGCAGCATGCAAACTGCCCTTTTAAAGGTGAACACAGAAGACTACCATATACTAAGATCAGAAAAATAAATGACGACTTCACTTCTGACTCCATAAGAGCTGATAGGAGAACTACAGGTCACTAAAGTAGTATTTAGACAAGATTGGCAGGGAAGACAGAATGCTACAAGTGATGAGACTTCACATGTAGACAAAAACAAAATGAGTTGGAAATTTTGGCAGCTTTTTGAAGGGTGTTTCTTTTAATTCCCATCATGTATGGTAGAATGGCTATTGATTGGCAGGAGCAACACAATTTAAGTGTGTGCACCTTGTAGCACCGCCCGTTTTTGTGAATTTGACTAAACTTTCTTATGTCGCCAGTATTTTAGCAGATGATTGCACTGTAGCCAAAATAATTTTGAATGATTATAGCATTAGAATATATTTTTGAAATAGATTGGAAAAAAAATCAGGCCATTTGAATAGGCACCAATTTGCCAGGTAGTATTTAAATGAAGTTGTCTATCTGTTGCTAGGTTGCAATGTTAATTTGTATCATGTTGGGAATTAAATTGTTGAAAATCAAAATGAATACATGTTTCTGTTATTTGTGGAGGCCCTCAGTCAACTAACAACAGCCTAGTCTGTGCAATATTCAACAACTACAACAAAGAATATTGATGGAAATTACAAGAAATACAATGTCAATATTTTACAACACAAAAGAGTAGAGTCATAAATACTTTACAATAAAACATTCCTTCATTGTCTTGTTATGTCATATAAGGCTCTCTGTTTATTTCCTTTCTGTCCCATGCAATCAGCTCAGTATCATGGATGGAATCCGGTTTAGCAGCCTTGACCTCTCTTAGCATTTATTCTAGAGTTTCTTTTAGACATCTTCCTCCTCATCCTTTTATTTCCCATTGTAATACCTATTTGCTCGTTTCTTCTCATGGAACAAAGAATGCAGCATGTGATCCTGTCGGTGATAATCGACTTTGAATGCTTACCATATCAAACAGTCGGCTGATGAAACTTGAACGCATACATAATGAAGCCATGCAGGTAATTCTGGGATGTGCAAGAGATATCCCGGTTGTATGTTTGCGATATATACTTGCACTGCCTACTTTTGCAGATAGGCACAAAGTTCTGCAAGCAAAGTCATATCTCAGAGTAGCTGCAGACAAGGTGCACCTCTTGCAGGAAGGCCTGGGTAGAATCTAAGGGTCAGAGACTGAAAAGAGGAATGTCTTGGATGGCGCAAGCTGAAGACACAATCAGACATGTGTGCAGGCTAGATAAATTTGTGCGAAATCAAAGTGTCCGAGCAAGTTTTAGGCTTGTGCAAGATTTTTATCACTTTGGGTCGTGATTGCTTGGGACTGGCCAGCTGATGCTGCAGAATCAGAAGTTCAATAAATGATTGACGACAATTCCTGCCCAAGTGATGTGATTGTATATAATGATGGCTCTGTGTTGAGGGGCAGACGAAGTGCATGGGGGTTTATAGCAAAGGCGAATGGAAGTGGCTTAGTGCAACAAAGCCTGGCTTGTGACATCACGTCTAGTTTGAGAATGGAGATTGAGGCAGTCACTACTGCCTTCCGCTGGCTTAATAATCAGCTGTACACACATGCAGTGATTGTCACTGACTCACAAAGCGTGTTGAGAAAGGTGGAGACAGGTATGCTCCGTGCAAAGAGGCAAGCATCACGTAAGAGGTCCCAGGTAGTTAGTGTCCTTTGGCTATTCTCTCCAGGTCATGCCGGTGTTTAAAAATGAGCAGGCAGATAGACTGACCAGTTCTGCACCACTTGTTGGTAAATTTATGCGTGACAAGCTAGACGTTGTGAGAACCCTGTGGGAGCAAGTGAACAGCGAGGAAGCGCAAATAGATCATTAGGATCTGATGAAAATAGCGCTGTGAGGAGTTACCGGGGGATCTGGCCGATGCTCAACACTCAAGGGAAGGGCGAAACGGATATACAATCACTGACTGGTGCCATCGGAACTGGAACTCTTCGTTTGCTGCTGAAGATGGGGACGGAGCACTTATGAGGGTGTCCAGAGTAGTATGTTTTTTCTTAATTCAACATACTTCTCAAGATGTGTCCAGTACAGCGCCATCTCTTCCATCTTATAAGTGATGATACTTGTAGTTGCCCAGATATCTCTTATTTCTTCACCACTTCTAGGATTAAACAAAACTAATATGATGGAAAAAATAAACTAACCATAACAATACAGATAATACACAAATTACAGAAAACAAGAATAATACTGAATACTTTAAAACAAACAACAGCACAGAATTTTGTACAATTATACAGTCAGCAAAGATACTGAACTAAAAAAAAAAAAAAAAAGAAAAAAAAAAGAATAACCAAAGAGAAACTTTACAATAAACAAAAATAATAAATACTTGATTATAATAAATATTATTAAAGATAAAGAACTGCTAACAACAATTAAAATAGAATATTGTGCCATAAGGCATGTTTGAATTTTGAGTCAACTGTTGGATCGTATGTTAAAGTGCTATAACAATTTGAGACTAAGATTCATATTTTTTCATATAGGTTGTTTTGTTTGCACATACATTTTTTTTTAGGTTACTTAATTAATAAACACATGCATAAGAGTTAAAGATAAACTTCATGGCTGCTTTTGTGAAGTAGAATCAGTAGAGATGGAAGATTATTATGCCTGGAGAGAATGAGGCACCCGGGTGTAACCAGTGGCCGGCTCACTTCACTCAGAGGAAAGGCAAGACGGACATTTAACCAGATTGTGACCTTTACCATCAGTACTGGAACTCTGCACTGACTGCTGAAGATGAGGACAGAGCATGCATAGGAATGCCCTGAGTGCTGTGGTGTCAATTCTTGACTCAACTCAGTAAAATGCGGAAAAAGATACATCTTTTAATAAGCATTTATTAATGCATTTATTGTGTTAGGTTAGTTACGTATCCTTTACAGGACGTTCCAGAACCAACCCCAGCAGCCCCTGGCTGTTGTGTGGTTTTACTAGGCAAAGTTACGTCCAACAGTTTGCCATTGCTTTCTGGACGGTCGGCCCCTGATACCACTGTCAAAACTAATGCAAGGCACTTGGCCCGCAGCTGGAATCGAACCCGGCACCCCGACATTACGAAGTGTTTGCATCGACTTAGCCACAGAGCCGATGCATTTATTGTGTACCTGGTACAATTTTTGCTTTAATTCTTTTCAATTTCATTTTTTATAGGACTGTACTGACAGGGGAGGAGGGTCATGTCCCTCCTGGGGATTGAACCTCTATATGTCTCTTTGGTAGGCAGGTGCCCAAACCATTACACCCATGCATTTATATTAAATGAAGAGCTGGAGGAATCAGAATGGCAAACAAGATTAAGAAACATGCATGCAACACATTTTCAACTTATTCACTGATGACAACTGAAAAAATACAGGAGATATGACCGATTTTCATAAAATCACATTTTATTTCTAGCTGACACTTCAAATTTGTATTGCAAAAATGCACACCATCTACATCAGTCTTCTTCTTCACATAAACCAACTGTAAACTCTGGTGGAAAGTTTTAGTCCTTTGTCGACTTCTGGACTTCACACATCTCTAGCAGATGCACTCCAACTTCAAAGGGATCTACATCAGTCTTCTGCAACTTTTTTTTTAAAAACTTGTAGACAATCAAACACTGAGGTATTGTTTCGCGGACCACCTGATATCTGACACCCCCCCCCCCCAAAAGCAAACAGCTGTTTATTTGTTAAATCTGATGTCTTCTTCTCTTTATTCTGAGCTCTTGAGGTTCATTGCTGCAGATATCACCCGCCCCCATTCATCTCTATGTTGAATGTTGAATTAGAAATCACTTGGGACACCCCATAAGCACTCCAGATCCCCCTTGTAACTCCTCGCAGTGTCATTCTCCTCAGACCGTCATTCATCTCTTTTCAGTTGGTGACACCGAGTGTTTGCAGGTCTGTCTGGACATTATCTCTCCATCGTCCTCTTGAACTGCCTCGTGGTCAATCCAATGACACAAAATTGAAATTGCTATCTAAAACAAGTGATATTTGCTGTCGCTCAGATATTAAGAAATCTGATATATGCATTGCATACAAAGTCTTACTCACTATCCAAAATCATTAGGCTACTACATAATTAGATGTATATTTTTGCCAGCCCGGACATTTCTTTCTGTGGTCTGCCAGATGAAGAACACTTATCAGCGCTAGGAATCGAACCAGTCTGCTTGCAGTAGAAGCAGATATTGTACATCTAAACCATTGTAAGAACAAGGTACAATTCTGAATTTATATCTCCAGATTTGTCAGACTTAAAAATTAAAGTAATAAATCAACCACCTATTATTAGATGTGCTCACTTCATCACACCAGTCTTCACAATTTGTGCCAACCATACACTCTTCTGAATATATAAGCAAGTACAGATTCACAAAATATGTATATACAAAACTATGAACAACATTACTAGGATCCATCCATACGCACACACACACACTAGTAGCCAGGCCAACAGCAAACATAAATAAAACTACTGATGTGATCTTTCTTGTCATGAGGAAGTTCCTCCTGATGATCTCCTCAACTTCTCGTCTTGTGTTTTCTGCTGATTCAACAGCTCCATCTCAATTCTTTCTTTGGCTCTAACAACCTGCAACAAACACAAAAACTACACATTACATGATCCAGTTACTTTAGTCTCAGACAGTTGCTGTGTAAGTTGATTAATATTTTGGTGTGGAAAAAATGTGGTGTCTACAGTGGCTACATGCGGTGGCTACAGTGCGCAAACTGCCATCTTTGGGAATATTACATGGCAAGGCCCCAGTCTTTTCCATGGTGTGATTCTTGTACCACTGACAGAAAACGAGAGCGTTTAAAAAGAAAAACAAAAAACACAAAGAACTCCTGCCACGGAAAGCGAACCCTAGTACTCAGGTAACTGCAGTTCCAACTTCACAGCAAATGGGTCACCCCCATACTTGCTCCACTCCTGTGCCAACAAAGAAACTACACAGTATAGTATACCCATCAGCATCCCTTGTGAACAAACTGACACAGACTTCAGGCTTAGCAAATCCAACAGCATGCACATACATTAAATGCAAAAGGCAGCAGTCAGAAATGCCAACACTAACAGTTTGAGACTAGAAATTCAGTTCATCATCAGGGAAACCCGCAGTTACAACAGATCAGTAGTAACGCGCAATTAACCTCATAAGGCACCAGAAGCCTGGCAACAGGCCACTTGCCATTTTCTGAATCTGCAGTTCACAACACAAACAGTGCTGGGCAGTCAAAAAGTATCCCAAATTAAATCCACAGCTCAAAGTGTTGTGCCATGCACTCAACTCAGTAGCTGGATGAAGGAACTACATCCTTTCAGTCTACACATGTGGGAGAATGAAACAGCCAGCCACTGTCAAAAACATAAGATTTGCGACAAATAAAAATAGTAAACCCGCCTACCGATCATTTAGTGCTCAAGGATAATTGAATTGTTAAATGCCTTCACTAAGCTTGAAGCCAGAGAGCAGCACTGAGATAATTATTACTTTAGTTGAATGTTGAATTAGGAATCAACATCACAGCACTCGGGACACCCCAACAAGCGCTCCGTCCCCATTTTCAGCAGCAAGCAAAGAGTTCTAATTCCATGGCACCAGTAACTGTCTGACTGCATATCCATCTCGCCTTTTCCCTGAAGTGTTCAGCGCTGGACAGATCCCCTTGTAACTCCTCGCAGCGCCATTCTCCCCAGACCGTAATGACCTATTTGTGCCTCCGCACTGTTCAATCACTCCCAAAGAGCCCTCACAACATCCCAGTTTGTCATACATCAGTTCACCACCAAGCGGTGCAGAAATAGCCAGTCTATCTGCCTGCTAATTTTCCAACATACCCGCATATCCTGGAGAAAATACCCAAAGGATTCATTACTCAAGTGTGAAAAGTTACTCTGATTTTATACAGATGAATTTTTATTTTATTTTATGCTGTCTCCACAATGACAGTTGGCTGCAGCGTATAAATAAAGAATTATTTTCTATCGTCCTTTTCAGGATGACATTTTTTTTTTGAAGCTCCACCCTGGCTTTTGCTGGGGGCCGCAATATAGGCAGGCCATAAATATGGCCAAATGTCTGAACGCGGTTTCTGGGACCCTTTACGGCGATCCTCATCCGCATGGTGGCATTTTGTGTCATCGGGTGTTTATCGCTTGTGTGATGTCCTGGTGGGGTCGAAAGTCAGTCAGTCAGCAACAACTAACCTTGGATTGGAGATACAGTGAGCCTCCTTTGGACTTGTCATTGGCTTCAAACAGATGGGTGAAATTCTTCTGTAGTGTCTCTATGTCAGTTATGTCTGTTATATTCAACACTTGTTTGGCTTCCTGCAACAGAACATGATAGTTTTTAGTCAAGTTAACAGTTTTCTCTAAGCTGGGTTTCTGATGGCTCAGAAACAACTGGAAGATGATGGAGTCCCTAAGGACATTCTCCAGAGTGAACTACAGATGGGTAGAAGATGTTGAGATTTGCCTCAACTGCGTTTTCAAGCACGACATGAACGAAATAAGCACTGAAGCAGATTTGTGGGAAAAGGATGCCATGGACCACATTTCATGGAGGGAAAATCAGTAAAGAAATATGGGATAAATGAGCAAACGAATGCAGGTAGGTTAAATCTTTTGCCCCACAACAATCTTTAAAAATGACACTCCGAATTTTGTTAAATAGAAACTAGAAGAAGAGGAGAAGAAGCAAAAGAGATCTGAAGAACAGCCTGCTTGCTATGGCATCACGGCAGCCTTCCAAGTTACTAAAATGTTTGGACAGATGGAAAGGTGCAAACTAAGTAACCATTCAACACTTGTTCAGCATCCTGGAAGAGAACATGGCAATATTACAAGAGCGCTACCACATGTTATATGTTTGTAGTTTTTTAACTAGAGTTGTGACTGACTGCGATAAATTATCAGTGTCACTTCATTTGAGATGAGCACTTAGGTGCTCAGTAACCCCCAGCAAGTGGTCAGTTTTTTTTTTCTTCATATTCTTTGGTTATCGTCCAAGTCTGATACTCGTAACCTGAAGCTGGAATAAAGATTGCATTTATAATTTGTCTTTAAAAACTGCATTTATAATTTGTCTTTAAAGATAGCATTTATAATTTGTCTTTTCCGGGAAAGCTAACCCGGCAACAAATGCCTGCAGAAGTCAAATGTATCCGCGAAAAGGTGCCAATATCGCAGCCAAGCTATAAACAGGCAAACTACAATTACATCTTTGGATAAACACAGAAAGAAAGATTTTGTCTTTTTACTTCCGCCGGAACTGACGAGCGCTGCACGACTGGGGTTTGTTAATGACTTGTAATTTTTTTTTTACGAATTCCCAACAAACCTGTAATGTCATTCCAGAAACAGTATCTGCTGCAGCCATCCGAGCTCCGTGCCGACCCCCACCTGCATTTTTTGCCGCCTGCTGACTGGCTGCATACTCTTGCTTCAAAGCCCTGGCAAATGCCCTGCCGACAACTTGAGTTCCAGCGATTATAATCTGTGCCAGGTACCTAGCCTGTGGACAGATAAGAAACCTTTTGCTCATTTGTTCACAATTTATCTATTAAATGCAATGTAGACAAAATTCCTTTGGGAGGCAAGCATAACAGGACGTTTCCGATCCTTAGAAGTCCCTCTTCAATGAGGCCCTTTTGCCTTCTTTTCATTCTCAAGGAACGAGCCTACATGGGCCATAACTTCCATGTATTCTCTCCTGTTGTGTTTCAAAGTGAACATTATGAACCATGTATAAAGTGGGGATGGAATCATGGAGACAAATTACGGCATACAAGTTAAAGGAAGCGCAACTGAGGAGAAGCATGTTAGATACATCTGATGGCAACAACAATGATCTTGAAATGCCAAGATTTAACTGTGGGAGATTTCTTAATGCAGTCAGGACACAGAAGAGTTATGCAAAAAAGTCTCATAACTATACCAAGATAATCACTTCATTAACATTTAAAAGCAGTAAGTGCCGCTAGAAAATTATAAAAGGCTACCCTCTCGCCCCAAGAAGCACAAAACCTGGTCCTTCTAGTCTGAGCCACAGCCCCTTAATTGTCCCTTTCCTGACTTGCTTTAAAGGTTTATTTATGAGGAGCCCCACTAAAATCACTGCTACTGTATTTTCCTTGGCAACTTTTTAGAATGACCAGGAACTAGCATAACTGCTAAAAAAAAAAAAGCTTTTAGGTGGGGTGTTTTATATCAGAAAATGGCTTTATTCATAGAAATCAAGATATTAAAATTTGTTTTTAGTTACAGCGGTAATTGGCGGCCAGGTCAAAGGGTCAAGAATGGGTCATGCTAAATAATTTTTTAAAGCTCAGAGAGAAGTAAACCCAGTTAATTCTCTGCAACATTCATGTTATTGATTACTCCTATAATTATGTATGCAATTAAATATTGGTTTAGTCAATATATGAAACTGTTATATTTTTTGTGTGGCCTGTGTAAAATGGTTGTTTTTAGAAAAGGAATATTTTTTCAGAAAAGACGAAATTCCACAAATGTGGGTCTTTGGCATGTTTTTTTTGTTGTTGGTCACCAGACAAAAGGGTTAAAGTAAAGAAGATCGACTTCAGTATCTAGACTAGATGCCTGCCAAGACCATCGCACAAAACAAACTCACAGGTTGAAATTCTTTCGCATATTATATACCACGGCTGATATGGTTTCGTAGTTAGTTTTTTTCTTCACCATCTTTCCTTCCGAGATTATCTTGAAAAATGTTAAAAATGACTGGCATTTATTAATCTGAAATGATCCCAGCACAAAATGCTAACAAAAAAAAAAATCTTAACCTGGGCCCTTGTCGACTGGCAAGTGCAATAATAATCACTATGGCATCATAACGCAACAATTATATTAATACTGTGAAAACAACTTAAGGTGATCTCGGACTTGGTGAATTTCTTTTGTGAAGACAAATTTGTTATTCCTCTGCAATTTTTGTTGTTGCTTGGAATCTCATCTGGACAAGGGGAATTTCTGATAAGAAAAACAATTTCCTGGGTCTCCGGTGAGTTCTCTTTATCAGGTCTGCACTGTAATGTAATTATTCATGAAAGAAAATTGGCTGTCTGAAGATTTCATTCACTAATGGGAAATAATTTATCTGGATCAAAACTAGCTAGCAATGCATTCCTCAACCAAATACACGTGCAATCATATAAAACAATGTACAATCTTAAACAAAACAATGAACTCAGATACTAGACTTACAGCTGGAAGTGACATGGTTAAATTTGCTGAGAAAAGACAACTCCAATTGTCCTACTATTTTCAATCTTTGAACAACAGGATAGATTCTCTCTAAGTAAAGTTCTAAACTTTGCTTATTATACTGACAAATTAATTGCGCTCAAATTTTAAAGTTGAGCCAGTTAGGTTCATTTCTCAATAATATTTATAAGTAAATTATGAATAAGAACCACTGGTTCTCACTATATAATATATATATATAATGATATTTCCAAATTAAATTGACACTCTTCAGTCTAAAAAAAATGAAGTACTAAGTCTCAAATGAGAGGTTTAGTTACAAAAATGTGTGTAAGTCTGTTATTGTAATTTTAACTAAGTATAAGATTATTTAGATAAACTTAGAAAGTAGGAAGATTTTGATCTGGCCATTCCATTCTTAAACAATTGATGAATGATGACTGAAACTGAATAAAAACTAAGTGGGTAGGTTAACCCTCTTAGCACGGACGGGCCAATTATTGGCTGGCGGATGTCTGGCCAAAAATACGGAACGGCCGATCATGCTTCGCCTCGAACCGCTAAGAAATCTCCTACTTTGAAACACTGAAAGTGATTCATTTATATTCAGTGCTGTATTAACTTTACACATGGCCACTTTTGAGTGTTTGGTATCGAAGTGAAAATTGTTGTTGAATTTTTTAGATAGTGACCTGAACCGCTAAAAGTATGTCTGACTCGTATGTTTCTGCCCCTAAACTTGATGTTGATAAAACATTTGAATCAAGTGATTGCACTAATTCTGTTGATACTGATGCAGGATCTAGTGTTAGTAGTAATAGTGGGGAATCAGTTGGCGATGCTGTTGTGTTCAAACGACAGTCCAACCATGGTGCAGGGTATATCCACCCAAAGGTGTTGACACTCGGGCAGTCCATTTCTTGTGCTGACTGATAGTGAAAAACACATGTCACCTAAAGATATTATTGCTGTTTTATATATACATACCTGTTTTTGACTATTGAATTGCTTACAACACTTGCAAAAAGGCCAAAGATCAATAAAAAGATTTCAAATTTAAAAAAATTTAGTTTTTAGTTTTATGTTTCATGCATTGAAGTTGAAAATTCAAATTTTCTATTTTTAGATATGCAAATGAGATAATTTGCATTTACATCAATTAATTTTAACGATATTGTGAAAATCATGAACTTCAATCTATATCCTTCAAATAGATATATTATTTATTTCATGGGGGGTCAGAATAACAGAAATGTGTCAAAAAAATTAAATAAAGTAATGACCAAATTCACTGAAAAAATGCTCCGTGTTTTTTGGCTAGACATCTGAAAAACTTCCCGTGATAAAAGGGTTAAGTAGGTAATGATGATAATCTTGGAAAACAAAAGTTTTTCATTCTGATTTCAATTTATGTTTCGTAAACTTTTCGTCATTGAAAATATTATAACGACTTTGAGTATTCTCATGTCATTATTAATTATTAATAAATCTGAATATAGGACGGCTACCTAGTACTAGTAGTAACCACTGTAGTTGTATCAGTAGTAGTACTAGTAGTACTACTACTAGTACTACTACTGATACTGATACAACTACAGTGGTACTAAGTAGTGAGTATATGAGTATACTAATTACTATCACTACTGACTGTGCTACTGTGCAGTCTCATGCGACCCTTACTGGCACTAGAACACACCGTGCACCTGATATTCTGAAAATAATTCACACAGACTCTAAAAGATGACGACATACAAACCAACTATTACATAAACTCCTACGATATATTTACCATGTTGTTGGGATCTGTGCCGGGTTCCAGTTTCGCTTTTTCAATGTCAACATGGCGCCGCCAGAACCAGATACTCGCCGACAACTGAGTCCTCTGTAGATTTAATTTCTAACGGGAAAGAAGTGATCGGCACCACATAGCAATGCATTTCTCAGCCATGTCTGTGTAGAGTTAATCAATCGATGTTTTCCCCCCGGTATATTGTGCCCATAGCTTTTGACTTTCATGTTACAATAGTTAAAAAAGGGAAATCTATACGCCATACGTGGTTAGCTGACCAATCTATACATGTCGATGTGTTTATTATACACATCAAGTGCTAAATATAACATGAAACACTCCGTCGAGCTTTTTAGTCATATTTTTTTTAGCACTTCATATCATCAGCTCGACTGCAGTCACCCCTATGAGTGAGTGAGTGACTTTCTACCCCACTGGGACATCACACAAGCGATAAACACCCGATGACACAAAGTGCCACCATGTGGATGAGGATCACCGTGGAGAGGTCCCAGAAACCGCGTTCAGACATTTGGCCATTTTTATGGCCTGCCTATATTGCGGCCCCTGGAAAAAACCAGAGTGGGGCTTCAAATAACAAAAAATTACGTCCTGAAAAGGACGTAAGGACTTGTCATAAGTGACATGGAAAAAAAAAAAAAGAGTCACCCCTATTTGCGTCACCACTTTATATACGTAAAGCTTGTCAGAGACTTAGGCCCCTATGTTGTCAAATTGTTCTAACGATTTAAGAGTCAAAACACTAAAATACGATACTTTATGTAATTAGTACACTATATTGAAATTTTAAACCAACACCAACATGAAGATTATAATTTATTAACAGGCAGAATTGAACTAAGAGAAGTAGTAGTACAAAAAACATTCTCACGGACAAAATGTTTTTTATGATGTCTTTTTCTTATAGTTCATGTGTTGTGGCGTTAAAAGTCATGTGCATCCACAACCTTCTGTCTCGGTTACTTTCGATAAGTTTTTACACAGATAATCTTACCTGCCATGACGTCAAACTGCCCAGCATCTTCTCTCTGACCACTCTTTTCCCTCCAAGTATTACCACCGTCATGATATAGCCTATCCGTTTTCTTTTTCTAAAGACTTGACCAATGAATATAGATTGTCTCCTTCTGCTCTTCTGATGCAGTAGTAAAAATATTTTTAAAAATAATCCTGTTGAACTCTCAGGGCTATAGTTAAGATCTAAAGTGTTAACAGAATTAAAAATCATTGGTTATTAATTTGTCTGAGAGTGTTCTGGTGCATAAGCGCCGGGACCCGCTCCATTTTTATTTGGGTCTGAGCTCTACCAATAAATATCGTAACCTCTGTGTTGAATGTGGCTTATATTGACCACCAGTTCATCTACTTCCAATAACTACAGTTACAATAAACAGAAACGATAGTCCTATCTGCGTTTGCTCTAGCTTAGAATAACTGTAAGTCAGTGAGCCGTGTTATCAAGGAAATCAATTGTTTTCCGATTAAAAACAACAAGACAGAGTTTGTATCAGAAAGACTGGGATGGTGGGGACAAGAGAGAGGGAAGATGAGGGAGGTTAATCGTATGGGTTTTGGAAACTAGGAGCTCAGATCCTGTATAATGCGCCCCCCCCCCTTTTTTTTCCCATAAGGATTCGAACCCAAGACCTTCGCACAGTCAGGTGTGCGTCTAGCCGCTGCGCCACCGCGGCTCAAAGTACTGTGCAGTCTTCACGAAAGCAATAAATGTTGGCGTGAAGCTAAACACTGCTGTAACAGTATAGCGGTGCTACATGGTAAGTATAGCTGTGGTTTTCTGTGTGTACTGATGGCGTTGGGTAAACAGAGATTGATAAATGAACGGACAGGTTTTCATGAGTCGCAAACAACACTATCAAAAATACAACTGTTATAGGGTCTATATTTGAGTTTTGACATGGGTCGCTGCAAGGATTCCAAATGATTCTAAATAAGGAGGACACAAGTGGTGTATACATTCATTGCCTATTTCACCGTATAAGACAGGCAAACATACAAACAAACAGGAGACATGCATCCATACATACGTACACACGTACATACATACATACATACATACATACATACATACATACATACATACATACATACATACATACATACATACATACATACATACATACATACATACATACATACATACATACATACATACATACATACATACATACATACATACATACATACATACATACATACATACATACATACATACATACATACATACATACATACATACATACATACATACATACATACATACATACATACATACATACATACATACATACATACATACATACATACATACATACATACATACATACATACATACATACATACATACATACATACATACATACATACATACATACATACGTACGTACGTACGTACGTACGTACGTACGTACGTACCTACGTACGTACCGTACGTACGACCGACCTACCGACCGACCGACCGACGACCGACCGACCGACCGACCGACCGACCGACCGACCGACCGACCGACCGACCGACCGACCGACCGACCGACCGACCGACCGACCGACCGACCGACCGACCGACCGACCTACCTACCTACCTACCTACCTACCTACATACATACATACATACATACATACATACATACATACATACATACATACATACATACATACATACATACATACATACATACATACATACATACATACATACATACATACATACATACATACATACATACATACATATATGCATGCATGCATGGGCAGATTTATAAAGGTAAATTTAACAAAGTCGCATACGCTCCATCGTTGCTAGACTGTGCGAGGGACTGGTTACTGACGGTTGACCTGCCTGGTCATGAAAGTACCCTGAATTAATCCGGAAGACTGGCCTGCGACCTTACCTAGTCCTACACTCTGCGGAGAAACGTAAGGTCATCCTGATTGAGCTGACAGTGCCGCATGAGTCGCGAATGGACGAAAGCCACATGTACAAGCTCGAGAAGTACTGGGACTTAGCGGCTGGTCTGAGGAGAGACGAAGCGTACACAGTAAGAATCTTCGCCGTCGAGGTAGGCGCAAGAGGTCTCGTTTCCGCTTCAATGTACAATGTGATTAAACAAATAGGCTTACAAGGGAATGAACGCAAACGAGCACTAAAACAACTGGGCGAGTTTGCTAAGAGGGCCTCGAGCAGGCTCTGGACACAACGGAACGTCGTGGGGGACGGGCCTCGGTGAGCTGGTTCGGGTGTCTAGTGAAAAAGAATGTCTTATCCCTTAAAGTCCATCGTGTTCGAATTGTCTGCCAGTGTCCCTCTGCCACCTGCCAACAAAGTCCAACATGTGTCCCGTAAACCAAACGTAAGCTTGCCACTTGGTCGCCCAGGTAAGCAGACTGCTTTAATTATGCTACCACAACGACTCCATATCCCACAGTACCTTTTACAGAGTCACCAATTCGTCTTGTCCCTGTCCGAAAACATGCGGTAATACGTGCAGCAGGAGGAAATCAACCCTGAGCCTCGTGAACTCAGGTGGGACCACTCTCTCGGAGCTCGTGGGCCAAAACATTTGTCGACCAGAGATTACTTCGACTGATGACTCCTGCTGTACATGCTCCCCTGTGGAGTTTCTTCTTACTTATAGTCTGTCTCCGTTTCTCTGCCTGTACAACCTCCGCTGCCTGGCAGGCCGATGCACCATGCCTTAGGGACGACGCCATTCAGAACGGTTTTGTGCAGCAGCCTTTCACGTTGCTGTGTTGATGCCAAAATAATTGAGAGCAGTTTTGAGAGTAATTATAGCTCTTTTTCTGGCCTCCCTGTGACCTCTTCCCTTGCTGGAGCTCGCCATAAAATACTCTCTTTGGGAGGCGATATTCTGGCATGCGGGTTAGGTTAGGTGACCAGCCCAACGCAGCTGACAATTCTTTAGTATCGTGTGGATGCTAAGCAGGTTTGCCCTATCAAGAACCACAGTATTTGGGATCTTATCTTGCCATTTGATTTTGAGCAGCTTTCTGAGACAAACAGGTTATATGAAACTCATTCAACATTTTAGCATGGCGCTGATACACAGTCAACATTTTGCAAGCGTGGAGCAGTACTGGAAGAATATAGCTTTATAAACCTTTAGCTTGGTTAGCAGGGAGATACCACTTTTGTTCCAGACACTGATATAATAAAGTCTGCCGAAACTGCTGCTGGCCTTTGAGATTCTAGCGTTGATCTCATCGTCGATGTTGACTCTTTGAGATAAGGTACTGCCAAGATAAGTTAATCTGTGGACTACATTAGGCTTTTGATCATTTACGGTGATAGTGGGATCAAAGTAATTTTTTTTCTGGAAAAAAGAAAATCTATTGATGATGAGCTGCATACTGGCTTCAGAGCTGGAGTTTAGAGCGCAGCCATCAGCAAATAAAAGGCCTTCTACAGAGGTTGCCTAAGACTATCGGTAAACACATATTCATTGAAGTTATAAACGAAAATAATTGTTTGGGGGTCGCCACAACTGTATTAAAGGGTCGCGGCATAATGAAGGCTGAGAGCCACTGATAATAGACATTTAAAATGCGCTGCCGATCCCAGTTGTTGCAGTTGTCATTTCTAAAACAAGATCCGTGGTGGGAGATTTCTGCACGGGATAGGACCAATAGAAAATATACTCCGAACTTTATGTGGTGTGGCAGCCGCCGTGGTGAAGCCGCCGTGGTGAAGCCGCCGTGGTATAGCCGCCGTGGCTACACTTTCTCCTGCGAATTCTAAGATCGTGGGCTCAGGTCCTGACGGAGCGGAATTTTTTTCAACAAATAACCTTGTCTCCCACGTCCACTCACCCTTAAATGGGTAGCAGGTAAAGTCATGGGAAGTAATGGCGGCCGGCGTGATGTTGACCACATCACCCACCGAGTGCCGATTTGTCTGTAAAATATAGGTCTTGCCCTATATGCCAATCAAGCATGAAGGCATGGAA